GTTCTTACTTCTCATGTGTATGCCAATGTGGTCATATAGTTCAGATTTTGTATGAGTTTAGTCAAATCAAGCCATAACGTCACTTTATACAGAAGCATAGAGAAATGTAAAATATTTGTAGCCATATAAAAGTTGCTGCCTTCTTTCTTTTTTTTTTCAAAATATTAATTTGCGTCTGTTTAATAACGTCCTCTGGTACTGTACTAAAATGGAAACTTATGTACATATGTGTACATATGTACTTTGGCTGCTGCAGTTTGTGCAACTACTTAAATATATGTTATGTTGTGCTAAATGCAATCAAAGTGAGTGCCTGGATTTTAATCTTTCTTTGTTACAGAAACTGATGAAGAAAAATTTGCAGGGAATTTCTAAACAAAGATACATTGTTACAAATATTCATCATTACGGTTCAGCATACAATGAACATTTAGCATACAATGCATACAAATTTGCTTAATTTGGAATTACAGCATCTAAATGAGGATCATTGGAAAGTACATTTCAGTATTCAGGTATTCAGAGTGTAGTCTGGAGTCATTATGAGCTTCTTAGTAATTTCAGAATGCGTTCTAGACTTGCTCTGACCAAAGTGTCATGGAATGTGTTTTAGACTTTATCTGACCAACGTGGCATGGAGCTTCTTAGTAATTTGAGGCTACAAATGAGCTTCTTAGTAATTTTAGAATGTGTTCTAGACTTTGTCTGGCCAAAGTAGCATGGAAGTCCATGAGTCCATGTGTGGAATTTGCTCTAAATGACAGACAGTATTAAACCCATCCTCATATTTAATTCTAAAACTGATACTGAGAAGGTCATCCTCTGACTTGACTAAATCCAAGAATAGTATTAATGGTGGTACTTTTAAAGAATGTGCAATTCGTTGTATCAAAGGGCGGTACGGTTGTATCAATCTACAAATGTTGAGTACTGATTCGAGGACTAAACCACTGTTAAAGAGTCATGTGTAGCATCTCACCAAGAGTTTCTACGCCTTAACAGTTGGGTCATCTTATACAAATGTGTATTTGTAATTGTTCTTTGTGAGGTAAAGGTTGATTGATTGTGTGCTTGAAAAAAAATTATACTTTGTACTTTCATGTTATAGATGACTTGGAGATATTTATGAATAGACTATATGTTATCATAAACAAGGTTGATTTATGAATGGTGTTTGCCAAGGCAGTGTTTGGTGGTTGCACTTTATTTTAAATGGGTTGTTCACTGAGGTTGACTTTGAATAAGTGTGTCATGAATGCTAACTATACGATTTTTGCCTTCAGTTATGGGTGTTCTCTGGCATGTCGCAAAAGAAAGTAGTTTCAACAAAACGATCAGCCATGCCCCATTCAAACTCTTCTCTCCATAACTCAAGGGCTATTCCGTCAAATTGTATGTTTACCTCTGGAAATACTGACACATAAGCCCATTTACAACCCACAACCTGTAGCAGTATTCAGGTGTGATTAGCTTCTCCCACTGAAGTGTTTAAAACCTATAGATATCATACAATCTTTGCCAAAGTTTTGTTTATTTTTTTAATTATTATTATTTGTTTTCAGAATGTTAAATGGTGTTGTTTGTGACCCTACTTGTTACTTTTCTGGACTTTTCTGGCTTTGTTGTGTTTTCTAGCATAACTATGAGAACATGCATTATCTTTGCTAAGATATTGATAAAGTCCATCTCTATTATATTGGAATGCCAGTTTTAGAGTATATTTGAATGTGTCGATATGAGAGCAGTTGAACAGCATATTAAATGTTATGTAACTTGAATGAATTTTAACTACATGTTTGCAAAACATAGTTCACATACTGGTATTGAATGTGTTTATCGTATTATTTGTATTGTCAAGATTGAAGATCCCTGTTTAGAGATATATATTTTCATAAATGTTGTACTTACATTTTGTTACAAAGATGTTTAAGTATTCTAGAACAAAAATAGCAGAAAAAATGTGTCTGAAAGCAATATGACTTAGTGTGTATGCATTGTTTGTATGGAACATTTTAATGTAATAAAATGGTTTTCTTTCTGCCTCTTAAATCTCATTGTATTTCATCTGGATATATTGGTCTTCCTTTGGAAAGAAAACACAAGACATTCGGTTCTTTGAAAGGTTGTAGTGGTTTATAGATATATAAATGTACATAAGTTTTCAAAAACCTGCTATGATACAGTTATACCTTTTCTATATAGCTGATACAAATCTTCATTTAACTTGGTTTATCATAATGACCCCTCAAGAGGCATGTTGTTTACACGAGGAATGCTTTGCTAAAAGGATTCCTTACATAGCACAATCAGAAACTGAGATGTTGAATGATTTGACTGATAATAGTTTTACTCCCCTGTGCAGTGTGCAAACAAGTGTGTTAAATATTTTCCAAACAGTGGGCACGTATCAATATTTCAATTACTGCTTGCACACACCTGGATTCTTTCGCACATGTCTGCAGCAGTGCAGGTAACAATACACAAACACCACCATAAACAAATAGTAGCTCAGGGCAGGAATGCTGGTGTGTATTCTCTATGGAAACTCAACCCTCAGTGGAATCAGCCCCCTGTTGTGATGACTATGGAACTGGCATATCAACATTGTGTATTGGGGAAAAACAAATGCATTTTTTTTATACATAAACTCATCACAGCATAGACGCTCTTAGTCATCTCTCTCTGGGAAGTCACTGCGCTGTAACTGAGCAAATGACATCAAATAGTCAATATCTATACTGCTAAATATACCACATTTATTCTGATCGTCCTCCAGTTTCTGCTTTCATTTCCTGGTGCAAGTAGTTTCCTAGTACAAGGAATACTATACTATACTATAAAGTACAGTATAGTTGTAAATAAAAAGAAACACTTCTGATACACACTACCATTAAAAAGTGTAATTTATGTATTTATTTTATTTAAATTTTTATTAATTCCTATAATGGCAAAAAGGAATATGAAAATGAATTCAGCAGACATGACTCCAGTTCAGAAATCATTCCAATATGCTGACTTTGTTCTCAAGAAACATTTCTTATTGTATAATTCTTCATGAATGACTGTTAAAATATGTAAATCATGACCAATTGACAATTTGAAAAGAAAACAAACAATATTTTACAAACAAAATTATTTTCATCTAACATTGCCATGAACTCTTTTACTAATTAGAATCTTGACTGACATCACATCACAATTTTTCAGTTGGATTGGAGTCAGGATGTGACACAAACTTAGCAGTTCTAAAATACACAATTTATATCATGTCAACCAGATGCCCATTATATTGCACTTACTTTAAAAATGTACAGTTACAGTTGTTTAATAATTCCAAAGTGTTCACAAACTGTTTTTCTAAATTATGTATATTGTCTCAGTGTGGACTAAATGGAATATGACTCAAAACTCATTACAAAATCAATCATGATAAGCACATTTAAACAGCAAGCTTGAAAAAGGTGTGGAACATTTACTTATGGCGTACACCAAACGCTTTCATGTTGTATTACTGTAAAAGTTGCGGTACAGTACAGTTAATTGGCTCAAAGGATATCTTGCAGCTGTAATCATCTGTGAAAGATCATGACCTTATAAAAATAAAAAAAAGATGTAACTCGATCTCTTAAGTACATAAATGGAAAGATTAACAAACCATTGGGTAGAGACAAAAACAATAAACACACCCATGTAAGAGAGTGAAAATGTGTGTCCTGTTGTCATCCTCATTATACACCATGGCTACATGGACATTATTTTGAGTGATAATCAAACCTGTGTTTTGATGTATTATTGTCAATACACCCAGAAGTGTTATGTACACTCAAATTAAATCTGCTGAATAAATTCCAACATATTAAATAAATTTCCCACAAATGGAAAAACAGGTCCTTCAGATATGATCTGTAATATGTAGCAGTGGTGGACACATTAACATATCTTTTAAAAAAATAATACCTTCTAAGCAAATACAGACACTACTAGACTAAGACAGGGAACATAAAAAAAAAATTAAGGAAAAGGGCCACCAAGAATACACATACACGTGTTTTTCAACCAAAATGAGGACTTTCCATTGACTTCTGTTGTCATACTGAGAAGTATTTTCTATCTCCTAAACCTGACATGAACCCTCAGACAAACCTGTTGAGATCACTAGATGTAATGTAAAATATGATTTAGCCGATGTATGGGTATCTTAAATAGTAAGCACCATTTCAAATATTCTCACAAGTCATTTTTGTTGTTAAGTAGGTACAAATACAAACACAACCACCTGAGAAGAAACAGCAAGGATGTTTTGACTTGATATAGATACTCAGAAATGAACCTGTCACTCCTTTACATGAAGCTTCCGTTGACAGTTACACAAAGATATCCTACTGTCACCTTCACCTTGGCATTCAAAGGTGAGAAGATCGCTTATCACAACAATCACAACTATAGTCGATCAGATTATTGCTTACCCCATGGCATCACACACTTCCTGACTACTGATTAATTTTAAGCAAACACTGTGAGCAAAAGTATTCAATAACGGAGGGAATGCTGAGATAAAGCCAGTAGAATCTGGTTGGTCAAGTGAGCTACTTAAAGATGTGTCATTATTATTGGCTAAATCTCACATTCTTGGCCTCCATGAAGTGACCGGCTCCATAAAATAAAACTTTTAGTAGGTCACACTGATACGACTTACAGTAATAACTCTTTAAATAAGCTCACTTTTGTAATAGGCTACATTTTATTGCAATAAACTACTATATGCATAATAGTTTTGTTTTTGTTGATTTACTGTGCTCCTATCTATGCACTTGAATGCACCTGCCCAGCCTGCCTAACACCTGCTCAGATTGCATTGACGGTCATTATTTCCCTGCATGCCAGCGGTTTAAACTGTGTTTCCCAGTTTTCCTGAGCCCTCGTCACATGGTTTGTCATTACCTTGCCGAGCACAGGCCCTTCTTTGGACTGCCATCTGAAATTCAAATGGACGTGTGGAGGAGGAACGGCAGAGCGGAGTCACGGGGGACCTTTCTTTACTCGGAAGCAGTAACACATGAGGGAAAATAAACATAAGGAAGGAGGAGGAAGCGGCTGCGATGTGCGTGCGACGTCTTCTGGTCATGGAAGACGTTTTTGGGACACTTTGCGTTTTGGGATAGCTTCTGTTTTAATATATTAGGAGATACGAATTGGCAAAATAAATGAACGCCGGAGTTATCCGTGAAATTGTAGCCCCTCTGGCAAAGAACTGCCACACCTTCATCATCAGTGTAACAGGTAAAGGTTTTCTCTTCACGCGCTACATCACGTAAAGCTCAAGTTTTTCTACGCACCTGTTGCGCAAAGCTCAATACAGGCGGATTGAACATTTAGGCGATATGAAGATTCATCTTTAAGAGATAAACAGTAAATAAAGTCTACTTTATTGCCTCTAAAACTATCCTTTTGGCAGTATCATCCCTTTTTTTCTGGAATAACTGAGTCAGATTACCCGATTACCTGAAATTTAGTTACTATTATTTGTTATTGGTGGTTGAAGCCTGTTGTTGTACTGTGACTGCAGAAGAAACACGGTTTTGCCTTGTCAGGTGTTGCAGTGAACAGGGTGTCGTTATTCTGCGCTTGCATTGTTAAAAGGATAGTTCACCTCAAAATACAAATTCAGTCATCTTCTCACCCTCATGTCAAACCCATATGACTTTTCTACTGTGGAACACAAATGGAAAAGTCGGTACTTAACATTTTCCATGCAATTACAGTGAACGGTACAGTGAAAGATGTAAGCTTAAAATAGGAAGCAGAAACATGATGAAAGTTGGCCATGAGATTTGTCTGCTGTATTTTAAGTCCTCTGAAGCCATGTGATAGCTTTTTTGTGAAGAACAGATTAAAATGTTATGTTGTTATTTACTGAAAATATTCCAGTTTAGTGAGCTGTGACTGAATTATTAAATATCGCTTCTCTTTTGAGTCACCATTGTCATTGCATGATAAAAAAAAAACTACTGGGGGATTTTTCAGAATTTCTCTTTTAATGTTCAAGGAAGAAAGATGGGTTTGAAACAACATGAGATAGGATAGTGAATAGTTGCTTAAATCTCTATTTCTGGCAATATCACTGCTTTCTTTTAGGAATGTAAGTAAGTTGAACAACACAAGTAATTCAGATGTGCTGAAGTTTGGTTATCATTTGTATCATTTTAAATGTGGTTAAAGCCATTACTTTTGCTGTGAACCGAAGGCAGAAGAAATAGGCTTTTACCTTGTAGGTGTAGGTGTGTAGTTTGTAAAAGGTGTAGTTGTTCTGCCCTTGGACAGTTAAGGTTTGAACTAATTAAAAATGAATGAGCTCTAGACATGCTACTTCCATATAGTGTTTTCTAAAGAAAGAAACTATTAAGACGAGGAAGAAGGAGCCTAAACATTTGAAAATGTGATGCTTTTAGCAGATTTAGAAATAATATTTTTAGGAATGTTTGGTCAGGTAACTTAAGTGCTTCATCTGATAACATCTACTGTAAATTAGCCGGTTTTTATCTAAATCAAATACACTACAGTTCCAAAGTGTGTGGTCAGTAAGATTTTATATATATATATATATATATATATATATAACAACGATACATTACAATGATCAAAAGTGACAGTACAAACTTTCAAAAGATATACTTCAAACAAATGCTGTTATTTTGAACTTTCTGTTAATCTGATCATTCTAAAAACAAACAAAAAATGTATCTGGGTTTCCACAAAAATATTAAGTACATGTTTTCAACATTGATAATAATAAGATAATTTTCTTGAGCACCAGATCAGCATATTTGAATGATTTCTGAAGGATCATGCGACCCTGAAGACTGCAGTAATGGCTGCTGAAAATTCACCATTGCCATCATAGGCATAAATTACATTTTAAAATATATTTAAAAGCTCTTCAAATATTACTATTTTTGACTGTTTTTTGTTTTTTTGTGATCAAATAAATTCAGCCTTGGTGAGCATAAGAGACTTTCAAAAACAAAAAATAACAGCATATGAAACACTTTGAACACTTTGTTAAACTAAAAGCTCCTAAGCATGTTTTTATATTTTTATGTACCTTTCACATTGTAAAGTCCAATCTAGACTTTGTCAGGTAATCAGTCTCAATTTGTGTTACTGTTTACAGTAGCTGTGAGGGGGGCTGAGCAGGTTTATGCAGTTTGTCTAGGTGTTTACTGTCAGACTCATTGTTTACTTTTGAGCAAGGTCTGCTGTGCTGAGTAAGGTGTGGTCTGAGGTGCCCTACAAAGGGCCACTGAGCCTCATGCTCTGTCAGGCTCCAGCATTTTACCTTGATATTTACACTACTAGTGTGTACACAGACTAGCCTATATTGTACATCTGAGCATGACGTTATGTAGCACAAAGCAGCTCCTTTTTCCGTGGTTCACTATTCACAGTTTTAATCTCTCCATCTCTTTCCCTTTAGCCATTTCCCACTTTGTAAGCATGCCCCTGTTTAAAAGCAGCACATTTAACAGTAATAGTTAAACAGTGATAGTTTTACAAAAACAAAAAAACAAAAAAAAACAAAAACAAATATGTTGAGATACACCCAGGGCCTGTGTGTTAGCATGTCTTCCATCTTGTGTGATCTTATGACTACGGATCTCTGATTGTGATGGCAAGTGTTGCATAGACTTCACTTGTAGTCAATCTAATGATGCAACATTCACAGATTAATGTTCAGTATATATATATATATATATATATATATATATATAATGTCATTTATTACGCCCTAAGCATAACCTTAAAAAAAAAAAACTTGTGTCAGGGAAATTAACTATATTGTTCTCTCACTGTAGAAAGTGCTTCATTTGGTAAAATATAAATTAACTTGTTTTATTCAAATCAGAAACATGATTTATTATGCATCAACCTAAAAGTAATTTTCAAGGTTCAGATAAGGTAGAAATTACTCCTTAAGGTAACGACTACACGGTTTTTCTTCTTACAGTGCTTGGTAGTTAACTTGATTTATGTACATGATTGCGATTATCAGATATTGGCCTGGTTTCACAGACAGAGCTTAGACTAAGCCAGGACTAGGCAATAGTTCAATTAGGACATTTAAGTCATTTTTAAATAACGTGCCTTAGAAAAAACATTACTTGTGTGCATTTTGAGACAAAACAGAGGCACTGATATATTTTAAGATTAGTCAGTGCAAGTTTCTTTCAGTTAAAACAGCTCAGACTTACACTTTAGCCTTGTCTGTGAAACCGGGTGATTGTTTATCAGATATAAGACAATAGGTATTTGTGTACAAGGAAGCAGCATTTAAGGACTAGATGTCGCCCTGCAAATAACTAAATACTCCGCAAAGAATGACTCTCTTTTATCAGTGTGACTCATAGTTTTGATAAACAAACACATAAGAGCCAAAATCATAAACTGAAACGGCTGAATAATAGCTGGCAGTGACTCTGAGTGTTTGGAAGTACCTCACACAGGATGTAAGGTGGATCCTTGTTTTGTATATTTAGCACTGTATTAAGTGATGATATGGGCATTCTCAAGAGGGCTGATTCTGTATGCACTGGTCTTCTGGTAATGAGGCCATGGCAACAGTGTCCAGGGCAACACGCCCATATTTGGCCACATTTCAAGTTATATTTAAAAGAGCTTTAAACACATTTATATTTTACATGGATGTGATGTTTACCTGGTCCAAAAATGGAGAAATGGAGATTGTCATTAGATACTCAGCTTTTTTTTTTTTCATCAAGCTAAATAAAGATATAGACAGGGAAATATTAACTCAAATCGCACTTTTAAATGTGTCCAGCGTTGTGATGGATTTTTCATTTTTCTTCATGTTAATGACCCATGTCAATTTCATGCAATCTGGCTGTTTCCATATGGCATAAATAAAAATGAAGAGGAGCATAACATGCTGAGAAGAAAGAGAAATGCTAAACCAGTTTTCCCACTTGTTTAAACCACACCTTCATGAATCTGATCCCTTTATGTAGTAACCCTCCACCTGTACAAGACCTACACATCATCCAATACTCAGTTACACACACACACACACACACACAGTATACTGGTAGATAACCTAATATTCTAGCTTTACCATCTCTCTCTCTTTCTCTCACTTGTTCTCTCTCTCTCTCTCTCTGTCTCTTTCTGTCTCACTCTTTCGCTCTCTATTTGTGTATTAGTCAATGCACTTTGTAAAACACTGACACAATCATTAAGGTAAAAACAAATGTGTTTAAGAGTAAGCCATTACCCCAGAGGAGTATATCTAAATTTATGTCCTTGTAAATGACCCAGAACTGTGTGTGCCTTTAATTTGTGGAAGTATAAGTTCATCTCTTTCCTGTCTTTGGATACAGAGGGTTGTGTAATGCTTTGACTCATAACATAAACCAGGATTTTAGACTAATAAACGTAACTGGGTTGCTGCCACAAAAGAGATCAGCTTCCTCTATACTGGTACATTAAATGCATCACACTTTAACTATTTGTTGTGTGCATTTAATGTAAATAATTTTTTTCTCATATATTTAAATCAACAAATCTATATATATATATATATATATATATACTTTCATAAAAATATGCATTTTTGCATATTGTGTACATAATGTTTAAAACTATGATGATCTAAACAAAAGTGAAATAAATGAAATTATTGTATGAAAATGATTTATATAATTTTTTGGTCACACTTAATTTTAAGGTCCAATTCTTACTGTTAACTAACTATTAACTACAATTTTTGCCTCAAACTCCTAATTTGCTGCTTATTAATAGTTAGTAAGATAGTTGTTAAGTTTATGTATGGGGTAGGATTAAGGGATAATAAAATATGGTCATGCAGAGTATGGCATTAATATGTGCTTTATAAGTACTATTAAATAGCCAATATGCTAGTAATATGCATGCAGTTAATAGAGAGAATTGGTCTTTAAAATAAGGTGTTACCATTTTTTTTATACATTATGTCCTGATATAATCCCCTGATGTAATTTCCATCAGGACCAACCATCTTGCCCCAATAATGCTTTGTCAAAAGTTAGTGTACTTGGTTATCAAGGAGTCAACAGTGTTAGTGAAATATGAGACGTGATTAAAAATAAAAATCAGTTGTGCATCATTTTCAATCGAAAAAAAAAAAAGGAAATATTATTTCATTGTGTTTCTGTAGGATTCATGAAATGCTAGCAATGAAATTAGCCTTCGCAAGAGTCAAGACAGAGTTGGTCATTTTGTTCCAAAAA